ATGAGAAATGAAGAACTGTGGATGAATGCCGGAGAAGTACCTACAGAACTTCGGATTAGAAAGAGAAAATGGGGATGAACTGGTCACACAGAGACAAAGCCTACAGGAACAATATAAAGACATGCTCCAGAATGGAACCCACATGGACAACGATTTGCAAGAATACCAAAGGGCATATGGAGAAGGACGGAGTACAAGGATGTGGAGAAGATGGGAAAATCTTATTTTCCTTTGTGCCTTTTAATTTCGAGATAGCTCTTTGATATAATTGTCTCTATCTTATGCCTTGTTGTTAGTCCATTCCTATGGCATAAATCTATTATGTAGCCTTTCCAGGTTTCTATGAGTCTTCCAGGAAGAGTTTTCCCCTCTGGACTCACCTGTCAATGTCTAAACCATTTTAGCGCAATATTTTCAATCGTTTTAATTGTGGTGTGACTTTTAGTTCATTCCTGATGGTAGTGTTTACAATTATCGCTTCTTATACTATCTTGTTCTAACCAATATTCAATGTTCTCGAAGAAACTAATATAATAAGTTTCGTTAATACGAATAAGTATTGTTAATATTCCGAAATAAACTGTAGAAAAAATAGATCCTACATTTCGTCAGAGGGCGCAATTTTCGATCTCTACAACGGCTTTTCCGGAAGGCGGAGGTTGTTCCTTCTCTGACGCCCCTTTCTCTAGAGAAAAATCGAAATGAAACTTCAGGTTTAGAATGTAATTATACTTCTTTAAATTGCTTTTCTCCAAAGACCTACTTGTGTGCATCTGTTTTGATGTTGGCTTCACCCAAAGTAAATTTTATGTTAAGCGTAATAATTCAGAAAACAAGAGTATAAAAATTTGTGTTTATATTTCACAACGAAATGCGTGTATTGGCTAATTAATTAAGATAATTAGAAAGTGAACAAAGTACTCTTTACTTGGACTTACAAGTATGTATTAAAATATAAATTTGTTTTTTAGAACATTCAATTATTACATTGTCACGTTCTTATTTACATTTGTCTTTGATAGTTCATTCCTTATTTTCCGCTGAAATCGCTGCACTTCTATGCACCTTCAGTATTAATGACCTGAAAATTAGAAATGAGTGATATTTTTCCCTTGCTGTTCCATACCAAAACTTTACTATCATGATAAATTTCTGACAGATTAAATTAATTTTAGGTTGTTAAAGGAATGTAATTAATCATTAGTGCCATTTGCACGGTGTCGGCAGCCTCCATCTCGGAATCACTTAACGTACGCCTCGCCGAGTGCACTGTTGACACGCGAAAGGGACGTCGCACACGGAGTGGTGGGAAGATGAAAAATGTGATCGCAAGCAACTTTGCACCACTTCTCAAAATTCTGAGGAACTAACAATAATAAGTAGCTTCTCCAATTACTTTGAACCGTGTCCCTGTTTAGTGTAGATATATTCAATTTTTTAAATATTTCGAACAATGGAAATTGTATTGGTAATGAGTGTGGGCGAACTTTTATTTTGTAAATATTCGGTAGCACTAGTCATCGTTTGTCATTGAAATTTTCACAGCGCATATAACTGTCTTTGACACGCAGCGATAATTGTGTATTATTGATTGCTACATTCCATTGATGTATCACATAAGCATAAAAAATGTCATTTATTAAAAATCTATACTAATGAAAGTAAATTCAACGACATGTAATAGACATTGATTTCACTAAACAAATAGATGCGAAGCATATACAGGATCTTCTTTAGGTTTTAACGCATAAGTTGGTAAATATTAAAACAACATCAATGCAGAAAATGAATAATTTAAATAATGTACTGGTAGACGCACCGCGACCCTTTTTTGCTTGTCGCTACGAGACAGGTTCCTACTATATTCCGCGACCAGCAACGGACTGGTAGAACCACATTCTACGCATGGAGAGTGGGCCGTGGTGAACGTAACATTAATATAGCTCTATTTTTGAAGGAATTAATTTTTATACGGTTTACTTAAACCAAGGTGATCAAGCTGTGAAAGTAATTGGTGACTATTTCTTCTTAACTTCGAATAGACTATAGAAACTTCTACTTCCAAAACGAGGTTACAATTTTATTTTCATGTGACAGCGTAACGTATTATACTCGCACGTTTTCTTGAGCCTTTAAATGCCTATCTCCACTCCTTTGTTAACATTAGTTGAATTAAGAATAAATATTAGCCACGAGCATTGTTCTCAATATCTACACAATTACCCGGTGTTGCTCGGAGTTACCTCGTTTCAAATCCTCTTTGAAAGAAGAAGAATATTGAAAAGAAAGTGAAGAAAAGTGAAAAATAACTTCACACTGGAGCCCTATGTCCAGCTTTCTGGCACTTCGTTATGCACCGTGCTAAACCTCCTAATAAAATGCTCGCCTCCTAATAAAAATTGCCAAAATCTGGAAACTTATGTTTTTAAATCTCTTTTATGCACCCCTGGGGTCAATTGCCTGTCTTTCAGCAATAAAATTATGGTGTGTTTGGAATCAAGGTCTCTTATAAAAGGGAATATGTCGTCAGATTTTCTTAGCTTCTTCTTCTTCTTCTTCTGCTGCTGCTGCTGCTGCTGCTGCTGCTGATGCTGTTGCTGGTGTAGTTCAAAGAATAGGCGTCTGCCTGTTTCGTCTTCAAATATCAAACCATCTCCTTAGCGTATTATATATTTTACTAACAGGATATTTGTCTAACAAACAAAATAATTATTTATGGAAACAAATTATAATGAAAATGAATTCGCGCTGTAGTCGCACCACCGCAAACAATACAGGAAGAAGCGGTATTTGCAAGAAAGGGTTTGTGAGTCAGCATATCCGAATGTTTATGTTTATTGAACCGAAAATCGTCACCTGAATAGCACAAATTCATTGCACTAAGCCAATACCAATATATATTTATCAAACGAAATTTATCAAATCGGATTTAAGACCAAGAATCCTATAAAACAATGTAACTACTTCGCCTTACGTACTTCCACAGCAATAGCTGAACAAATTTTAAAGTGAAGAAATTCCCTTACAAAGTTATCTCCACTCCCATTCAACAATCTATAAGAAAATGTACTCTAAATAAAATTTCAACATTTCTACTCTTGTCTCACACTTCCACTGAAATCACTAGTATGTGCATCCTCTGGCGTTACTTTCACCTCCAGGCTGAAGTTAAAAAACAACAACGTAGCGGTAGTTGCATGAATCGTCCAATATCATCAGAGTTAAATGACCACAACCGCATTCATTCCCAGAACCCGCACTACTCGCCAACCCTTCCACCACTCGCGCTTTCAAGCTTTTTGACGCTCGCCCCAACATCGCTGGCATGACCGCGCAGAGGGCACACGGACAAAAACCCCGATCCACGAAAAATCAGACGGAGCGATGCAGTTACATTTCCCCGCATCAGCGATCACGTTCGCTATCATCGCCCAGACAGACACACTCAGGCCGCCTCCACGGCTGGGTGCAGTCCGCTGTCGGCGATTTGTCGCGTCCCGGCCGGGTGGTCGGCCGGCCGCCGGCCTAATTAGAGGGGGCCGCCTCAACAGCCACTTGACTGCATGATTTCATAGAACGCGAGGCAACTAGCGCGCTAATAATTCCATTCGCATTCGACGGGCCGCGCCGGCGATGAGGTAGATAGATAGGCACTCGTCCACACTCCGCTCGCGGGGCAACTCGCGACGGCTCGAAATTTATCGACTTGTGGACGGCCCAGCGCGCGCCGTCCGAAGGCCGGGCGGGGGCGGGGGGGGGGCTCGTTATAAAACTAACGTGCGCGCAGTCGGGAACGTGAAAATGGCGCTGGAGGGTTGCGCAGCCTCCGCTGCCCCGCTGGAGGAGCGGCCGTGACCCTCCATACACGCAAAGGGCTTACAAGTGCGGTTTCGCCCTTCAAAATAACTATCACGTATACAAAACTGGTCAGTGATAATAAAACAATAATTTGGATTGATTCCTTGGTGTGCGTATTGAGAACACTGTCTGAAGTGGTTCAACAGTTCCTCATGGGGCCAAGGGCTACAAGCGGCGTGTCGGCCTTGCGGCCATGACTTAAGGGGCCATAGCGAACACTTGACGGAAATCCAAATATTCGTCACATGATATTATAGTCATTATTATAGAATGAAATGGAACAAGTTTTTTATCGTTAGTTATGGAAGGCTTGTAGGGCTGTCGAGTTGCAAATTCACGTTAGTCACATACAAAGTCATACATTACATTACAAAGCCATACTTGCCTTTCATTGTCCTCATCGATCATGAGCTGTATTTGGAAGTACTTCTTCCCTCATAAAAAAATGCTGGAATTTCAAATATTCACACATACGCACAATATCACAGCTACTAATGCAAACACGCTGACTTGAAAGTTTCACCCAATCACTGCGGATAACGAAAATACTGGTACAGGTAAAACACAAACCAAACCTAACAACACATCTTCACTCTTCACTGTACACCCACATTCCTCCACAATTATGTACACAGCGCTTGTAGACTTCAACAAAACGCAAAATGAATGTTTTCTCTATACGCATAAGAAACAACCTTCATCGGAATCAAGCAACTATTAATAGTACTTCTAGTTGTTGCTGCGAGAGCGGATCTTGAGTTAATAATTATGCAAAAAAACCTCGTCAGTCTGCGCTAATCATAGCGCGCACAGAAATCGTACGTGGTATAAGATAGAGGAATCTAATTCTCCCTGAAAATATTTGGATACTGTGACAGATGTAATAAGTTTATGACAGTTCAAAACCCTACACAAGTTGATAGCATGACGTTAGGAGAACGAGAGCAGTTGATGGCATTGCCTGAATCATTTCATTAATCACTTTCCACAAATGATAATGGTTCTTGGAGTGAATTTCATATTGAAGGAAGCGACTCCAGGGACACTTAGTGTACCTAACTGAAGTTAGTCAAATGAAATGATTGTGGATCTTTTCAAAAAAATTCCAAAACTTTCCAAAGGAAAATTATATTATTATAAAACTTTGCAATCTTGTTTAACAATGTAATACAAGTCTAGATAAGCCTTAACTGTCATATTTCTAGTATATTTTCCCAACGATATATTGTTTTTTTACCTATCACAAGTAAAATTACAAAATATTATTTTTAAAATAAACCACTCTTATCTTATATCTAACTCTTCACGTTAATCGCATGAAATGCGTTTTAAAAACATGGAATATGTTATAAAATTTGCAAAACGTTCCAAGAAGAATGATATTATTTAAATTTTACATGCTTGTTTAAAAATGTAACACTAACCTTAAGTAAGTCGTAAATGTCATATCAAATATACTTGTTCACAACACATTGCTTTTTTTCTGATCACATTAAAATATACAATCACAAATATAAAATATTAGTTTTCAAATTAAGCATTCTTATCTTATTGTTTATAGATAGTGAAAACTAAGAATCAAGTAGATGTTACATAAACTTTATTTATAAATGAATTGAAATACAAATTATTAGTTGTTTGACAAATATTAGTACGTCATTCAAGATACAACAGAAGAAATAAGTTGACCAATTGGTTCCCCGCTTGATAACAATATCCAAATTCGTGCAATATACACATTATACAATATATCCCTTATTGGGATGTTCCCGTGCAAACTCCTAAGCTTGAAAGACAAAAATATAATTTCGTTCAATTTTATTCCTTAATGTCGTCCTTGCGCTTTCAAGCACAGTTGTATTATTTTGGGCGGTTATAGCACAACTACTAAAGATTTGTTCCCCTTTAAAAGTTTTCTCATCTCGCAAAATACATTATTGGTTTGAACACATGTATTATCATATTAACAAAAACGCAAATCTGAACGCAAAAAGGTATTTAGTGACACAAGTAAATGTACATATTCATCTTTTAGCCATTTAAATGTATCGTAAACAATAATACTAAATTATCACAATAATGCCCTTCATAAAATGTATTTAAAAATGTCCTTTGAATTTTCAGGGAAATGTGAATAAAAAGTAGCTCACAAAGTTTTATCTGCCTCTTTAAATGATTTTGTATTGTACATACTGTGACTCTGTGTGCTCATCTGCATACTATGCTGATTAATTAATGAATATAGTTATCTAATAGCGCAAAAATGTTGATATTGCAATATCCAATGTCTTATGTAATGGATTTGCCTTGCAACTTCGACAATGAACTATCTGACTCATGCATGTTTACTTTGCCCATCACTGCAAAATTTCAAAACACAAATTTTCAATATTGTGATCAGTAGAGATGTTTGAACCCCATTACGAGTAGCGTAAACATACATAGCCATAAACTAAGAATTGATTTTCCAGTTAGTGTTGTTTATTTTGAAATGTATTTGTTAAAAATAGTTTTATGGAATCTATTTGCTTTTATAAAATTACTCATCTGCCATTGGTATATAATATTTAAAATGTTAATACATATGCAAGGAAAATGTTTTCCATTGCTTTTAATCCTGTATCATACAACTTTTCCAACGCTTTGATAATTTGTTATTCGTAATTTAATTGAATTGATGAAACTATAATAACAAAGTTAATCTCTTTTGTCCTAAAAGATAACAATATTTGCAATTAATAGTCCACACTGTTTTAAAAATAGATAATACGCAAATAAATCGTCGTAACTGCATGCACAGCCCAAAACCATTTGAAAGAGATAGGTGACGTTTTTGAGTGTTCCTTTTCATTGTTTTTAAGGAATACTAACAAAAAGCATATTAATTTTCCTCTTGTATTTATGTGTAAGGATAATTATATCATGTAATGTATGTATACTGTCTATAATCGCGCTTCATATGTAAATCGAAAATATACGCTTGAGTAAGTTCATTTTTTTCTACAAAAGAGGATAGATATTAGTGTTCCTTTTTATTAGCCCTCTTCTCTCTATCACAGTCACATTCATACGTGTTCACGAATTTGATTCATTCCTTCTCTGTCGCCTTCTATCCCTCGTTAAGTAAAACCAAGAAGATATTCTTCCCAATGGGAATCCACGTTCTCTCGTAGTTAAATATTAAGCACGTCCCTCAGGTTCCCCTCGCCAGTTTTTGAAACTTGATATTCATTGGCGAGTCTCACATACCATGCCTGAACCCTTCAATTTTACCTAATCCGGACCCCCAAAAGTACGTGAACCACGTGTTGCTTTGTGTCACCGAAAAGTTTCGTCTGCAACCCAATCACGCTCATCGCATTTGGACATATATTGAATAACATATGCCGGGGCCGCGGCCGCGGGCGGCGGTAACAAAGCGTCGACTGGACCACCGCAACGCGCCGGTGCTGCCCTCTATCACACGTTCGCGTAACGAGATTCACATAGGTGCCGTAATGCCATTGGAAACAAGCCCGCCGCTGCCATTTCGCCTAATGCACATTCACAAAATTAGCGGAATATTCAAATCATTATTAATTTTGACAATGCGCGAACGCGGCTTTTAGGTGATTGCCCCCCACCCCCCACGAACCGTCGGGTTTGCGTTCCCAACACCCGCGAATCCTGAGAGCGGGTCTACTTTCCACACAGAGGCCGTTCCGATGATGGGCAGGCACTAGGGGCCGTGTATGAACGTTGATTTACGATCAATTCTGTTAGAGCACCCGGTTAAATTTCAATCATTCATCGGGACAGCGAGTCACGAATTTGTTAAACGTGGCTCGAACACGATGATTTACATCGCCGCTAGATGCCGCTGCTGTCGGCGGCGTCAGCCTGCAAATCACGAGGTCGCGTGTTCAGCCCCGCCCGATGGAGCTTGTCTGCGACCTCCCGCTACGGGGCTTTACAACGGCGGGAAAGACACTGCGTCATCCTACTTACCCCGATTGCGCAGGCCCTTCGTAATCTTGGTTAGCGACTCCAGTCTGAGCAGACGACACTAGCTGCAACGTTAGCTTTAAGTGCCTACAAAATATGCGTGCAAATCCTCCTCATTAAAAATTGACTCTTTAATTTCAGATTTCCATGTACTTTTATATTAATTTTGTCGCTTCAAAAGAATTTACCTGGAAATGACTTTATATTATTAAATCACAAGTTCAGTTTTCCAGAAATGCATGTTCTTCTTGTGAACAATTATTCGCAGGCGAAACTCATTATTGGAAAAATTCAAAAGGGAAAAAGAAGCTATTACTCTACTTTTATTTTCAATTTATTATCAAAATTTGTTTTCATAATTATATAATTATACTTTGTGAGTGGAATTAATAGCATTGCAGGACAATCCATTTAAATGGGAAATGTCGTTTTGAAACTGAACAGAGGTCAGTGGGCAACGTTGTAATGTTGCAGAAAACACAAATATACATTTAACATGATGTATCTATGATGCACAATAATATTCATTACATTTTAATATTTTTAAAATATGAAAGAATATAACAAGAGGGCGAATCATAACTTCCAATTTATTACAGAGCTTTAAATCACAGTATTTGCTGCCAAATGAATATTTATTTTCATTACCACACAAATATATGGCAACACCGTAACACTACGTCGTAAAGGCGAACATCGACGCAATGGTGACGATGAGGAGTGTCCCCACTGGACCAGTTGCTGCTGATGGGTGTGGAGGATGTGTATGTGGGTGAGGAGGGCTGGTTGGGGACGTGGAGGTCGGCGGATGAGTGGGGTGGGAAGCGGGAGTGGAAGATATTGCGGGGGCAGTGGTTGTAGGGATAGCTGTAGGCTTAGAAGTTGAAGATGTGATGTTTGCTGGGGCAACAGAAGAAGACTGTGTGGTTTGCTCAGTAACGACGGATGTCTTGCGAGTTGGTGTAGTGATAGATGTTGTGGTGGGGGCTAAAGTTGTCGTGTTGGTGGAAGGTGCAGCTGTGGTAGAGTTGGTGGGTGGTGTTGGAGGTTGAGGCTGTGGAGTTGGAGTTTGTGAAGTAGTTGATGGCTGGACGGTTGTCGTGCTGTTAGAAGCTGGAGTGGTACTAGGCACAACAGTTGTATTTGGTGCAACAGTTGTGGTGATAGGAGGAGCAGGTGTCGTCGCTGGATGCGAATGGCCTAGAAAACAGTAATTTTGTGTATTATTGCGCAGTTAATTAACTACAAAATGTATAAAGTCTGATTTTTTAATGTAGACACAGCTAACTATAGACTGAAGTTTTCAGAGTAGGTGTTGATAAATAAAGCAAGGTGTTATCAAAAATCGTCTCAGTAATGAATGTATAATATTATAAAATAAGAAATTAAATTTAACTTACAATTGTCATTAAGTGCTGCAAGACCAATAATCAAGCCAATAATGGCGGCAGCCATGACAGTTATGACAAGTAGAAGCTTGCGCTCCAGACTGGTTCTATTTACACACATACTGTCCAAGCTAGAAAAAATACAACAATTTATAAATAACCAAATCATAATAACATAATAACGGAAAGCTTGTGTTAGATTTTGACAAGAAATCCGCATGTACGTGTAGATCAGAACAGGTATTTAATTGTTTTTTTAGTTAGAACACTTTTTTTCTTATTTATTATTTTCCTTGCCGAAATACAAAGAAACTCATGTGTTCTCACTTAATATTAAGAATGCAAAATATACAGATCTATTCTAGAAGCACAACTTCAAACAACTCGAACATTTTCTAAAACACTGCCTAAATAAATATTTAAAAAAAAAGGGGTGGCTAAACTCTGGCACATGCGCTAAACTTGGTGTGACTCATTGCACCCGTGAACCAATCTATTTTCCCCTTCAGGCATCAAAATCGTAACGGAATTATCGTCTTCGTCGTACTCTCACCACCAGTTAGTAGTAATCGTTGTAGTTATTGCTTTTAGACAATACTTTAATAGTTAATTGGAAACAGAAAGAAAGTGCAATATTGACCAAAATAAATTGAAATATACATTTTCATTTTAAACTATTCACTCATTGATTAGTGGAAGAAACAAGTACGTCCGCACACGAAGGATGAAGTTACAGCATGTTAATGAAATGTAACTAGCTACATTTCGGCCTCTTGAGTTATACCCATGAAACCTCAGGCTATGTCGACTGTTCGGAGTGGATACATGTAGGGAATTGTAAAACATACAGACTTATTATGGGAAAATAAATACTATATGCTACATAAAATACGAAATACAAAGTCCTAACAAATTACATAAAGCTGAAAGATATTTAAAATATATATATATATATATATATATATATATATATATATATTCCATCGGAATATCGGGAGTTTTATCATAACACATTTAAATGGCCCTCAAAGAATGCTGTCTAATCTGGTAAAAAAAGAATAGTAGTTTTTTTTACTTTATTTTTAATTAAAATTACAGTAAACTCTCGTACACACACACATGCTTAACACGAATATCGCCCTAACAAAAAAGTTTACATTTATGACAAAAACATTTATGTACTTGGATAAACCAAATTTTCATAACATGGACTCTGATTATTTTGGTCCCTTGGAATTCGTGTTAATAATGATTTTACTGCATTTACTTACTATAACATCAACATGATGTATTACATTAAAGTGATTTAGGGATATTAAATGTTAATTAATCAATAAAAAATTGATTAAAAATACAAATAAACCTCTGTTTATTTCAACTTCTTTGCAAATTATCCATGAGAGGATCATTGCTTTGAAAAAGGAAGAATGTCCGCCAACTTTAAATAAAGTTAGATTCAGAAATTTACAGAAAATGTGTTAAAATGTTTCAGCATTATGTGGAAATATTTTGTATTTGTAAGTTTATAATGTATGACGACACTGTAGCAACAATATTGTAAGCATCAGTACATTTGCATTAGTTTTTTTGATACATAGGTATTTTCTTTTTACGATCAGCAATTCAATTGATTATAAACTTGAAGTTGTCAAGTTTTGTCTAAAAAATATGCATTTGGCATTGTAGAGTAAGATTAATCCAACGTTTTTTTCAGCTAGCGGTGTACCAAGGCCTGAGGCCTATTTTTATTTTTTGACCACACCTGGAAGTAAGGGATACTTGGGGCGAGCATGCCGTACTTCCATCACCTAGTTTATTTGGCCTGTCTGTGCTATCTTTCGTCTCCCAGCTATTCAAACTGACACGATTTCTATTAGAACGCTGCAGATTCATTTTCCTCCCGGACGCGAATTGAACCAGGGACCGTATCAGAGAAGCTAGCTCGCAGTCTACGAGCCACACGAAGGGCTATGTCTAATAATATTTTTTCATTCACAAAATTATTAAAAAAACATCATAGCCCCTCAGCGACAATAGAGAACATAGAATGCCTAGTTCCACTTCATCTTGCTATCGGTACTCAATATCGCTCGGCGATATCTCCCTCATTGCATGCAATAGGATCTAGTGCTGTTTCCCGCATCAAAAATTACTCTTAGACACCTGTGTGTCAATTACTGGGGTATACGATAGCAGTCAGTCTCTTGACAAAGACCGTCTCTGATTATTAAAGGTTTGTTATTGCATGTGTATCTACAAGTTTTCTGTACTAAAATAGTGCACATAATTTATCACATTAATAGTAAAGTACACGTTATTTCATAATACATATTACAAATTGAATCCTACTAATTCTTCAGCCATATCTGGAAAAACTTAAACTGAAATAAGCAAAAAAGTTAAAAATACATATATTTGATTTTTTAGTATTGCACATTTTTATTGAAAGTGGCACTGACATTGATATCACTGAATTATGTCCAGTGAATTTTAATCAATTTGAATCAAGTGAAGTCAGTTTAGTCAAGTTTAATTAAGTGTATTGCTGATCGTAAAACGAAAGCACCCATGTCTCAAGAAAACTGATAAATATTTACTGAAGGTTACAATATTGTTGCTATAGCTTCGTCATGCATTACAAACTTGCACAGACAAATATACGTCTACAAAATGGCGAACCGTTTTAACACATTTTATATATATTTTTAATCTCTTATTCATTTGAAGATAGCGGACAATCTTCCTTTTTCAAAAGAAGAAATTCACTAGCTTGGAAAAACATTTAAAAACAAAAATAAAATTGCACCTTATCTGTTTCTAAAACGCGCGTCTAGACCACTCATTCAATATTCCTACAACTGCCCCTACATTCATTTTTAACTTACTATTAATCATAGGATGAAGCACAAATAAACAAATGAATATAATTTTCTCAAACGATTCTAAACATTCGAAAAAGGACAGTAAATTACTAAAATATTTCATATTTAGAACTATTTTAAATTAGATTAAAAATACTTAACTTTAATATTTAAGGTGTAGGATAGTTTCAAAAGGGGTGATGTGTTTTGAACATCATCTTTTTTAACCATTACATTTTACTTCCTTTATTACGTCTTCCCCCGCTGGAATCCAAGATCCGGCGCCGACCTACCGTTGGCTAGCGGAGTTTTCCTCAATCTGGTATACCCTAACACCGGGGCATCGCCCGCAGCCGGGACAAGCTCTAAGTCTCCAGGTATATGTGCATGTCAGTGTACGAGGTGTGTTTAAGGGGTGAGGATAGGACAAGGAAGAGGAAGGAAAGATCGGGCGCCGTCCGTGGCCCACATGTTAGGAAACCGCTTCGGCATTCACCTGGTGTCGTTCGGAGAAACCACGGAAAGCCATTGATCAGGGCATCCAGCCGCTAGAAAAATCCTCCACACAGCGACTGAATTCGGACTAGCTAAAAGCTGGTGTCGAAAATCCTGCCACCGTCGCAACTCGAAACTATGACCTCTGGGTAAGAGGTGCTGCAGTGACATAAGCTGATTCCTTAAACCACCTCTCTCAATAGGAAATGAAATGGAAAGTGCAGGTTGAGCACAAGTAAAAAGATATAAGTAAAATCCAGAAGCAATGCAAACATCCACGTGTACAGTGCCAAGTGGTTTCATTGATAACCCATGAAACATGTGAATCAATCTGACTCCACAGAATTAGAGACTGGACTGACTGCAGCAGTGCACAGTAATCAAACAGCAGACGCCATGGGCAACTTAACGATGAGAATGCTCGGGTTGAATGCTGCTTGTGTTTGTGCCCGCTGTGCCAAAAGTCTGTGGCTAACGTTGGACCAAAGTTGTTGTGGTACTGGATTAATGCCAACATTGTAGGAATTTTAAAGACTATTAGATGCTGTGGAAAGCCATAGTGTTACTAGTTGCTGAACAATGTTTTAAGTTGAACCATTTTTTTGTGGTGCTGATGAAACTATTGCATACTGGGTGAGTCATTCCACGTGAAACATCCATCATTATCTTAACAATTAAATAACGTTACTAATGCCATCTGTTACAATTAAATGTTTCTAATTCCATTTTTTCTGAGAATAGATTAGCTCCTCTACACAAGTTTATTCACTATTTCTTTTTTCTGTAACGTCCAGAAGTTTGTCCTTATAATGATTCTAATCTAATACACTCGCTGTTCATAAATGACTAATTGCCCCCCCCTGCGTGTACTACAGTTATTCGAGTCTTTGAAATGCGCAAGTAGTTGCAGTTTTAATGGTAATACAGTGTTAATTTGTGCGGTGAACAGGCAGATTGCGATTAAGTGAAAAAAATAGAAAAAGGACTTTCTACGGGAATCCATAAGCTTCTGAGGGCAACACGCCGAAGGAATAATTTATTGCTAATGCTATATACAAGCAATATGCTGAGGTTTGTTGTTCCTCAAACGGCTCCACTGAGTAGTTTAAAGAATGTTAATTCTCATTGAATTCTGAAATAATCATATATATATATATATATATATATATATATATATATATATATATATATATATATATATAAAATAAAACAATTCACACATATTTAATATCTTCACGTCAGTTTTGCGAGGCGTCCAAGATTAATGGTGACATGTAATTTAAATTAGATCAGTTCAAATGTAAGTGTTGGAGCCAGACAGGCCGCGGTAGTCCACCGCAGTTACCCTCGTGCCACTTACTCGCACACTACAGCCGATCGTCCCCGATCGCCTCCAAGCGCGCTCCAAACGCGAACACTGACCCAAGCACGTCCCAACCACTCTGCTCGCTTTAATTCCACACAAAAGGCCTCGCGAAGTTGCCCCTTACCGTTGTGCGAGGGCATGCCAACTGCACCGCACAAATGAACAGATCTGATATAAATCGCATAAGAAAGCGAATTCACATATTTAAAAATAATATTGAAGGTCGCCTTAGAAACAGCTCGGTCATTTGGGGGCCACAGTTTCAAAATACAGTACTTACAAATATATGAAAATATTGTAGTCACATATTGTAAATTACGCTACAGTAGAAAGAACTGATCTCCTACTACCATACTCTACTACATATCATATGTCTTTAAAATCTCAGCATAAGCAGAAATACCTTCATATCACACAAATTTCTGCACTTACGCAATGTGTTGCTCTTCAATATTAAGGAAATCAAACTATGGCGAATGCCGGAGCAATATCCCGTCAAACGGGCCAAGAACCGCGCCCGATCTTTCCATCCCCTTTCTTGTCCTATTCGTAGCCCTTACGTTCACACACGTGTTCTTACATGCACTGTTCTAACACACATGCCGCGAGACCGGTCGGGAGTTCACAGCTTGTCTCGGCTGGGGCGGTGCCTCGCTGGTGGGAGAGACCTTGTTGGGGAACACCCCGCTGCCCGACTAGGCACTGGATATTATCATTCATCTGGAGAAGATAACAGACACATTTCAAGGGAAAAAGCATGCACTACACATACGGTATTATGACCTTATCCGTTGGCGTGCCCGGAATCATCAATAATTTAACAGAGTAGTACCTTACTGAGTAAAGCCGTACTAAATGTTTTTTGAGTCATTTGAATGTCATGCGAGAAGTAGAGATGTAAAGGACCGAGAAAGGCAAATCTCACTACTCTTCTCTGAGCGCCACACCCAAGACAACGTTTTGCTCTGAATTTTACCTTAAACAACAACATCGCAGTCTGCGCACGTGACACATACGTAATCGAGTAATTGATTATTTTCAATACACAATGTTACGAACGTAAGGTTCGCAGGTAGTGTAGTTGCTAAATTAGCACCAATTAATTATGTTTTAAATACATACTGTTTTAGTAAACGATATCATAATGATTTATTCTTAAGATGTTTCAAGTGAAGATTGTGGTCAAGTCTGGCAATTTTCTTGCTTGCCAGAAACTCCTGGTCATTCCTTCTTCATGCCACTTGTGGACCATAAATACAGAATTTAATGGCCCATGCCAAATATTTTTTCTGCAAAGTAATTATACGCCGATCACCCCTGTTTGCAAGTACATGTGAATTTCCTGTGAGGACCCCCCGAGAGGCTAAATTTATTTCCTTCGCGTCACGCGAGGAGCGTTAGTGTTGGGTCTATGGACGTGACTAATGCGTAACGAGCAATGTCACCTTTCAGCCACAAAACAATACCAAAGTTAGCCTCTCAACTAATGTGATCGTAAAAATATTTCTTCCAGCATGTTAAGGACAGATTTCTACACGTTTTGTTACACACCATCGACACACAACACCGAGAGTGTGCTACTATCTTGCAAGAATTCACATACCATTGGGGCATGAAATAGAGTTGAACAAAAGTAATATAACTATGGAGATATGATGCAAGTAAAATTCTAAGTGCACTTGAAACTCACAACACCCACCACGCGGAAACACACGTTATATTCTTTCTTAACTCTGAAGCATTAGCATTCTAAAGTCTTCAAGCCTGATGTTCGTGTACCTCGTTGTATGGTTCACATACTGAAACCTACAAAACCGTGACCATTTTGAAATATTCTATTACAATTTTGAAGGATGACCCCAATCCGTACTAAGATTTGTCTGAGACGTTCGAATGTAAGTTCCGTACGAATGCAGGATGTCCAGGAAGGAAACGTCGAAACTCCATAAATAAGCTCTTAAGACACTTTAAGCATATTTTGTCTAATGAAGTACTGTTATAGTCGGTATGATTAAGCCGCAATAAGTACTAAATAGTTGGTTTGAAAAACTTCTTTCTAGGCAAAAATGTGCATTGCAAAAGCATATAAACACCCCAGGGATATGTAAATTCTTTATTATTTACAAAATAAATCAATGAAATGGTTCTGAAAGGAAAAAAATAACCCACAAATAGAAAAGAACTCAATTTACACAATTTGACTGTTTTTTCTAATTTCTGGTTAATTTTTCTTTCTTATTGGCCGAAACGGTGGCATATGTGCCTAAGACGCGGCGTATCCCGGGCAGACAAGTAGCTACAGACTTCAGTCGCGGAAGCCTACACTTTCAGTATTTAACTTTCTTGCATACTAGCCCGACGAAAATACACGCAAGCAATTAAAAAGACTTTATTTCATTTACTTAGTTTATTATCATAGAAGTGACAGTTTACCAAAAATTGATTGGAGGCTCTCCATACCCCCACGTGAATGATGCTTGTTGATATGACGGTTACTGGCAGCTATGCACTCTCAATACACACCAGACTGCCCATTCTCGGCAATTCGTTGTGTAGCAAACAATTTCTTGTGAACATTCTATTCAAAATGCTAACGCAGTCGAGGGTATTACAAAAGTACTCTGCGTGGACCATAAAAAGTA